TAAAACAAGGCTCCTCTCTTCATTGTAGCCTTAATTTTGAAAGGAAAGGAAGTTAATTTTAATTAATAAAAGTTAACGCTACTAATTAAACATTTGTTCTATTTTCACATGCACACATAAATCTGCCTAAAGATATAACTAGCTCTGCTGAGGGTATAACAAAAGCTTTGATTTGCTATATAGAGAGTACAAATGATCACAGGAATTAAACTCAAATTGGCCAAGATACTTAGTCCATATTCTTGAGTAAATCCAATTTGTTTTTAAGGATTACACAATTCAGGAATAAATGACTTTATTTTTATTAATAAAATTTGATGTAATCTTTCTTTAAATTTATAACATCCTTTAAATTTATAACACCTATAGAAATCAGACAATGATTTTAATAATTTTTAAACATCATTTTTTTCTAAGTTTATTCTTCTAGATTATCTAATTTTAATCTGCCAGCAACTCTAAAGAGAAAGTGATTTTTTTCTTATTAATGAGCTGAGCTCTGGAGAGATTTATATGTATGGCTCGTTATTAAACACATTGATAATGATAATAGCTTAAGCTCTGTTCTCAACATCCCCTACTATAGAACAGGTACAATGAGTACTTATGATGCTGCCAAACACGAATCAGGAAACAAAAGGATTGCAGAGCTGTAGGGGCTTATAAATATCTGTCTAGAAGGAACGGTAGAGCGTTCATTTGCTTTACAGTACCCACACACCAAGAGAAAGTGGGGCATTCTGCCTCACTTGCTCATGTTGGCTGAGATCTGAGATCATAAGGAACATTTAGAACATCAAAAATATGTATCAACAGTCTAATAAAATAGACCAGATGATATGTAAGTGAGAAGTTTGTATTTGTATGTCCATATATAATTTATATAAATACATATACATGCAAGAGAGAGATTATTGAATTCAGTCTACATGATAATCAATGTCAAATCAGAGATGGCCTATGGATTAAGTTCCACTTGAAACAAATAAATATATATTCCTATGTATTAGGAATATGACACTGTTTCAGTCACATGAGATGAAATACATTGCTAATTTAATTCATTTTAGATTACCTCAGAGGGAGAAGAGAGGAAGTAACTTGGCACACACTAAGGAGCCTTGGGAAGTATTCAGCTAAAAGGATCCCCTAAGACATAAGACCATTAAATAGCTCCTGAAAAACTTATTTCCTATATGAATATTCCTATAATTTGCTCATTCAAAATAACTGGCATTAATTTGAAAATATCTCTGAAGTGAGTATTCTTTTTTAAGAATTAAATAGAAGTTTGGGGCTTTAGTGTCATAATTCTTATTTTGCTTTGTTTTTGGGGGTTTTTACTGCAAGTGCAGATTTGGGGCAGGTAGAGTGGGAAGCTGGTTTTGTTTTACCTTCAATGGTATCCTCCATTAATATTAATTTTTCAGGACAAAGTATCACTTTACCTCCTTGTTATTATTAAGTTCAATTCCATAAAATTCACTATTATCTGTGTTTGTGCTTATCCAAAAGGATTGTTTTGGCAGGTAGTCTGCTTCTTCCTGCATTTAAACAGAGATAGCTAAGAAGACTGAGATGCCGTAAGACTAGAGCACACTTGCAAAATATTTGTGCGCCAGGAACTTTCCTTTATATTATCATGAGGTATCCAGTGGATGGACCTGAAATATTTCTCTTTCATTAACAGATTTTTCTGTCCTGTTTCCTCATATTTAGCTTCTTAGTGCCAGTAGAATTTGAATAGTATCCAGAAATCTGAAAATAAGTCACATATTTGGGGGTTTGTTGTATGGTTCTTACCCTGTAACTATTCATGGGGAAGACACTGGATTTACTGTGTACATGTGTGCACACATGTGTGTGTACGTGCCAATAAAACTATAAACACCTTTTTTTTAAACTTTTTAAATAGCTTTACCGGGACATAATTCACATGCCACTAATTCACAATGAATCGTAAATTGCACATCTCAATGGTTTTTAGCATATTGCAGATATTGTAAACATCACCAGTCAACCAATTGTAAAACATTTTCAACATATGAAAAAGAAACTCCTAATCCTACTACTTTGGGAGGCCAAAGTAAGTGGATCACTTGAGGTCAGGAGTTCAAGACCAGCCTGGCCAACATGGTAAAGCCCTGTCTCTACTAAAAACACAAAAATTAGCTGGGCACGGTGGCACACACCAGTAGTCCCAGCTACTCAGGAGGATGAGGCAGGAGAATCCCTTGAACCCAGGAGATGGGGGCTGCAGTGAGCTGAGATTGTGCCACTGCACTCCCGTCTATGCAACAGAGTGCGACTCTGTATCAAAAAAAAAAAAAAAAAAAAAAAAAAACCCAAAAAAACACCAAAAACCAACCAAACAAAAAATACCAAAATTAGCTTGGCATGGTGGTGCATGCCTATAATCCCAGCTACTCAGGAGGCTGAGGCGGGAGAATCACTTGAACCTGGGAGGTGAAGGTTGCAGTGAGCCAAGATTGTGCCACTGCACTCCACGCTGCAGGACACAGCAAGACTGTCTTTAAAAAAAAAGAAAAAAGAAAAAAAGAAAAAGAAACTCTGTACTCTTTAGATCTCACTCCCTATCCACCCATACTCTCTCCAGCCCTAAATGATCACTAATGTATTTTCTGCCTCTACAGATTTCTCTATTCTGGACTTTTGTATGAATGGAATAATATATTTGTGACTGGCTTCTTTCACTCAGTATAATGTTTCAAGTTTTGTCTAAGTTGTAGCATATATGAGTGCTTCATTCCTTTACATGGCTGAATATTCCATTACGTGAATATACTACATTTTGTTTATTCATTTGTCTACAGCAGGACAGTTAGTTTTGACCTTTTGACTATTTTGAATAATGCTGCCATAGACATTTGTGTACTGTAGACATAGGTTTTTATTTCTCTTGGATATAGACCTAGGAGTGGAATTGTTGGGTCATATGGTAGCTCTATGTTTAACCGTTTAAGGAACTTTCAGACTGTTTTCCAAAGTGGTTGCACCATTTTACATTCCCACCAGCAGTTTCCACCACCAATTTACATCCTCGCCTGGGTTTATCTTTGGACAATATTGCTTTGCCTAGGATGGCAGAATAGAATGACAGAAGGGCAACAGCCCAGTGACACAGTGGAAATCATACCAGCCCTAGACTGCCTACCTTCCAATTTAAGTGAGAAAACAACCCCTATTTCATTTAATCCACTGCTATTCCAAGTCTCTGATAGTAGCTTAACACAAATCCAACTCTTGTGGTACCATTAGCATACTTGAATCCAGGAAGCTCTTGAAAAAATTTGAATTGAATATGTAAAGATTTTTTTCATAGAAAATTTTGTCATCCTGTTGTACACTGGAAAATGCACCTTATTTCTCTCCTAATTTCTGATCCCATCATTCAATAGCCATTCTCCTTAGAAATTGTTCTGGGTTCTCACTAGCACCTCACTGGTGTTCTGCGAGATGGAAACAACAACTGATTATTCAGAAACAAATGCAAGTGTTATTGATGGAGTCATGTTTTTAATGGGAAGGAAAAGCTCTCATTGTGGTGATGGAGAATGAGCAGGAGTTGTCTATTATCTCCTTTCTCAACTATTATCCTAAGTGTTAGGACAATAATTAGAATGATGAAAAGTCATTTAAGATTTTCTCCTAAACTTTCTGGGAGCCCAAAGAATTTCAGTGCCATGTTGACTACATAATGCTTGTATCAGGTATTTGTTCTCTTTTAGACATTGCTTTTGAAGCCATTTTTAGCCTCTGTAACAGGTTAGACTCACAGTCACAGTTTTCACCTTGGAATTCAGAAAGGGTAAAAGAAAACTGTAATTAGTTGCAGCTCAGCTGTCCCTGTTTTCCCCCCTCATGCTTTTGTTCCAATCATCTGCATTTTGAGGGGATACTTTGAACACACACATAACCTCCCATTCTACTGGCTGTTTTGTAACAGATATAAATATTTGCCCCAAAGCCAGCCTTTGACCAATGGGGCTTCTGATTAAGTTTTAATATAACTGGTAAATCACTACTGGTAGAAAGGAGAACATTACAGAGTCAGGAAAATGCTTCAGTTAACTGATGATATGCTCAGTCAACATTTATTGAGCACCTCTGACGTTCATTACGGCACTTCATTCTGTTAAAGAATAATAATCTCTTTATCCTTTTAACTCCTGATAATAGATTTTTACACATAAATTTACAGTTCTTGGAATCAATGTATCTTAAAATATCTTAACAATCTTTCTTTTGTAAGGAAGTCTTTCTCATTTTAAAGGTTTTGGGTTTTTTTCTTCTTCTTCTTACATATGGCAAAATCATTTGGCTTGTGTTGTTAACAGGTTAGTTTGAATGTTTCTTGTAAGAGCCAAATGTATATAAGCAATGCTTTTCTCTCTGAAAATTTCTCCTGAATCTCAGCTTTTCAACAATTTACTATTTTGTAGACCATATTCATGATTTGTTTACTCATACACACTTATTAAGGAGCTGTTTACTCAGCTCCAAAATTTGTGTTAGACTAGGACAGGCTCAAATCTATGACACACAGAATCCCCAAAGAATAACTTTAAAGGTTATGTAAATTTCTGGAGCTATGCTATCTTATTATCTTTCTATTAAAATGTCAACATCTTCTATACTTTTTCTCCATCCATTCTGGCAAGACACCAAGCTATCTTGAGATTAAACTAAGTCTCCTAGTTCAGATTCAAATCCCTGCTCAATAATCTCTTTATGGCACTCTGGGCAGTGTCTTCATTTGTGAAATCGGGATAATGATTTTATCTACAGTATTGGGTTGCTGTAAGGATTAAATGTAAAGCATACAGCATGTGCCGGACATATAGCTAGCACTCCATCCATGTTAGCGCAGGATTTCAGATTTGTCTGCATCATTACTCAATAACTATCATTCGGCCCTTTTAAGTTGTTTCAGCGACGACTGAATGAACTTATTTATAAATATACAACATAACCAGGGATGAAGTCATAGTACATTGAGGTTTCATTTCCACATAGATAACATTAGGAAGCAGCTACGCCAACACTTTTTCTTCCTGTGATCTGTACACTGCAGGGTCTCTAGAAACAATGGTTTGGTTCTTTCCTGGTGACAAAGGATAAGAGAAGATGAAACTGCTATAAATGGCAACAACTTAGAAATAAAAGATACAGAAATATATGGGCATGAAAAATATATAACTATACATACACAGCTGTTTTTAAAACATGGCCTTTATTCTTGAAGCTCAAACTTGATTTTCAGGTACAGCAGGCCTCTGTAACTTTTCTTGGCATTGAAGTCATGAAGTCTCCCGTCCTCTAAAGCTACAGAAATTTAACCTGGAAGCAAGCAACAGGCACTACGCACGGCACGGAGGGAACCCTGGGGTGTACGCTGTGTCTCCCACCTGTCCGCCAGGTCATTGTGACGCAAACGCTATGGCCACGTGGAACACCTGCCGGAGAGCAGGGGCGGGGTCACTCTGGGCGGCGGATCCGAGCGGGGGATACCCCAGGAGATGGGGGTCGAGGAGAGACCCGGGGGAGTAGGGAGAGAGAGACTCACTCCCCGAGTCCCCGACCCGCCCCAGGCAAGGTGAGGTCAACGCCACTCACCTCCCCCTGGTTACCCTGGGAGGGGTCGCCCCGGCCGGCGTCTGCGGGAGGGGAGAAGCGGGGAAGGGAGGCAGTGGGGACGCCCAGGCAGCGGTAGGTATCCGGGCGGCAAGGGCGCCCGCACCCCCCCGGCCGCTGCGCTGCGCTGCGGCGCGCACGGGCTCCGCCGGCTGCTATTCCGGCTGGTGGCGGCCGCCGCAGGAAGGGCCGGTTCCTGCGCTCCCCCGCCCCTTTCCCTCGCCTTCGGCTGACGCTGACGTCGGATGAGTGATCCGCAGGGACGCTCCGACCGCGGCCGGGAGGCTCCTGGGGGCCGGGGCTCCGAGGTACCTGCCCTCCGGGGTCGGGGCGGGGGCGCGCCGGGCGGGCTGCAGGAGGCAGCAGGAGACGCCCGGCAGCCGGGACGGTCGGGGACGCCTGGTAGGAGCTGCCTTCTCTGCCCTCCGCGGGCGGCGCGTGATAGGCGGGTCGCCTCCTCGGGTCCCGGATCCCGGTGCGGGAACCGCATCACCCCCTTCCTCTCCCCTCCTCCCTCCGGCCTGGGAAGGTCTGGAGGATGCGCGCGCCATGAGAGCGTGCGTCAGCCCCGGGGGAGCGGGAGGGAAGCATTCCGCGCTCCGGCCCCAGCGCTGGGAGCACCGGCACCCACGCCAGCCCACCCCACCCACCCACCCCGCGCCTCGCCTTCCCGGCGGCTCCGGCCCCAGGACCCCGAGCTCCCTGGTGGGCAGGGACTTGCGTCCAGGGTTGACTTGTTGACAAGTTCACCTGCTGCGGCGCCTGGTGTGTGCTTTTTTTCTTTCCCCGGTGGCCCGTTTTTTGGCAGGGGCGGCAGAGAGCATATGGGTACCTCTTTATAACCACTAGTGCCAGGAGGCCTGAGCTTGGTCCCTCGGGGGCGAGGTGCTCAGCAGTCTCGAACTAGACGGGGCGAGAGCCCTTAAGCAACCCCGGTTCCAGCAAACCCTGGCGCGCCCGTTTCCTTTGGGTGCAGCTGACTCCGCCTTTCCTGCTCCGGGGCTATTGCAGCTCCTGCTTCCTCTAGAAACGAACATATCCTGTTGTTATGTCTGCCTTTCCCCCAAAGCGGCTCTCCATGAACCTTTCCCACTGTCTTTTTACTTGTAGTGCCCCCAAAGCACCTGAGCTTCTCTCTGGGGTCTTAAAAGTATCGCGCCCTTATGCTGGCGAAGGGCATTAACTGCCTGGTTGGGGAGAGTTAGTTTGGAAAGAATCGCGTTCTCTTCTCTTAGATGGCTTTAAAAAATTAGCACAAGAAAGGGTTTTGTTCGTGAATCTTAGTGAGATCTGGTAACTGTATAAAAATTATCAAGGCCTGGAAAATATGTCACCAACTTGCTTGGGAGTGATACTGATTGTAGGAAGAAAGGCACATAAGACATTCATTGGCCATTAAGGTCCTATGAAATATGACTCATCGCAAACATGTTTTTGTCCATACATTTCAGTGAAGTCTCTTCAGAAAATCTCACATTGGTTTCTGTGACCTTTTGGTTTGAATCTGAGATCTGAACTGTTTTGGGGTTAGGGAGTGAAATAAATGCTTAGTCTGAAATCTAGGCTCCCGATGCAATTTCATACCCGCTATTTAAAACACACACACTCTCTAAAACTGCTGTTAAGTTTTTAAACCAAAGATATCTTTTTAGATTTCAGTCTTTATTTTTGAAACACGCTTTGTAGAGAATGCCATAGGGACAAAATCAATTTATAATCCTTAATAGCTCAAATATCACTCTTTGGTTTTATACTAATACTGTACATACATCTTAATTGCAAGAGATGTTGCTTTCTAATTGTTTCTGTTTGTATTACAAAGGGAAGTAATTGTACTGTTTATAAAGATGAACCTTTAGAAAACGTAATAGTTAAGCTACAGAGGGCTATTTGTGGAGAGACCTGATGTTAAAAAAAAACCTCAACCCTGTGTCCTCCACCAGTGGATCATTGCATGCTGAAGATACTGGGTGGTAATTGCCTGGATGGTTTATTTTGTAACTATTTTCCCCCATTTAGAACACCTAGGTAACTATCTGACCGCTTTCTCTATGCATCTTTACCGCAGTGTGTATCTCCACATCAACCTCACGAAAAGTATAGAAAATTTTGTTACTCAGAGCCTTCAAAATAACTACATTTTCAAGGCATTTGACCAAATAGTACATTTTTTTCCGATGTAAGCAGCATTAGCGGTATGGAGGTCTGGCAACTATGCCATAACATAGAAGGATAAACCTGTGTTTGGTATGAACTTCTTAGATTACGGAAACCTCATACAAGAGAGTGAGGAAGTTGACAGACCACAAGGGTCAGGAGGAATTTTTCCTCTTAGTTGGTTGAGCCTCAGGGTAGGTGGCCGTGTTTCTAATCAGCACGCTGGTCACTAGTGTCCTTTTTTTCCATCTGCATTATCAGATTTATGGGAACCATTAATAAGGATGCTATCTGCATGTTTTTGTCCGTGAGGCAACATGGATCACTAACGAACCTTATCTCCCAACCCCACCACCATTCACAATCTGCCTCAGCAGAGCCTTAAACGCAAAAAACTTTCCCCCTGCTTTTTTCCTTATTCCCAAGCTGATGCATTTCATATCACAATCATATCTAGCACTCTGAGGGAGTTCAGAGGACACATGGGCTTTGGATCCTGATGGAGCAAGATCAGAATCCCTGCGGTAACACCTAACTAGCTGTGTGACCTTGACCAAGTTACTTAAGTCACCATTTCCTTATCTACAGAACAGGAATATCCACCTTTTTAGGGGCAGGGTGGAGATTAGAGATAATGTATATAACATGCTTTGCACACTTTTAAATAAGACTCACTCAGTAGTAATAAATTATTCTTTCACATGCTAAACGTATGCTATCCCTATCTAAAAAGAATGGTGCTGCTTTACTTGTGATAGGAAGTATATTTCAATTTGGCTTTGAGTAGTTCAAGTAATTTTATACGAATACTAAGACCCTGGGCTTTATGGAAAACACTCTCTGAAGTTGGGGGGTGCAATCAGAAACAAAGCAAATCTAATTTGTTCCAGTGGGGATAGATCTTCCAAGCCCCTGCCACTCAAACGTGGTCCATGGACCCGTAGCGTGTGGCCTCCCCTGGGAGCTTATTAGAAATGCAAAATTTTAGCCTGCCTGCTACTCTCTTCCAGACCCACTGAATTCAAATCTGCATTTTAACAAGATCCCCATGCGTATGTTAACATTTGAGAAGCACTGCTGTAACCTGTTATTTCTCAAACTTTAGTGTCCCAGAGAATCATTTGGGGGCTTGTTGTCATAAATGTGGATTCCCAGTCAAGCTTCCCTCATCTGCTGTTAAACAACATCTCCGGTAGCTCTGATCCCTAGGGTCTCCCACTGCTGTGAAACTGTCCAGCACACTGCTCTAAAATGAGCCTCTGTCCTCTTCCTTCACAAAGCACTTTGGCAACTATGATCTCATATGATATTCAACCCCCTTTTAGGTACATAGATATAATAATCTCCATCTGTCTGATAAGGACTGCAGGCATGATTTGCCATGGATAGATGCATATGGTAGAACTGCCTTGGAGCCTCTCAAAATCCTAGCTGACCACACTTTTACTATTCTAGGAATTTACTATTTAGTGTTCTAGCATCAAATTAACATAGTTTTTGTTTTTTGGCCTGTAAGTAATTTTCACAAATAACTAATGAATCTCTCCAGGACAGGGAAGACTCCATGTGATAGGGCATTTTATACCTGTTTTTATAACAAAGCCTGCCTACTATGTGACTGTAGGCCGGTTACTTAAGATAACTTCTTCATGAAATGAATATAAATCATAATGTCAACTTGGCAGTATTGTGAGGATACTCAGTGATATGAGTGAAGCATACACCCCAGTGTCTGAGAAGTGGCAGTTCCTCAATTAGTGGTAACTGCTTGTTCCAGTGTAAACCTAGTGAGCTACAATGAGTTCATGAAAAGGTGGGGAAATGATAGCTTGCATCACTCATGATGGGAATCATCTGTCTGTCTTGCTAAGTCAGATGACATCATTCATCAGGGCTTTAACCAAATCAGAGAAGTGGGATGACTTAGTATTGAACAAGCATTGGTTGTATATGTACCATGAGCTACGCACTGTGCCAAATGCTCAGAATCCCAAGACTCAGACCCAATCATGCTGTGGAGGAGCCTACAGCTCTGTAAAAGAGAGGGAGAGAGAGGAGGCAACTAACCAGTTGTCTTTCAGGGAAAGCAGGGAGGAGATAGAGGCACAGTTGGTAATGCAGCCCAGGGCAAGGGCATCCCACCCAAACAGGAGAGAGAGCAGAGAAAACCTGAGATGCTTCATGGAGGAGATTGCCCTTAAGTTGAGCCTTAAACAACTAGTAGGAATTCGGCAGGTAAATAAGGGTTGCGAGTGGGGAGAAAGAGCGTTCCGCACTCCCATCCATGTGTACGTGTGTACAAAAGTCAACAAGCAAGGGAGAGAATACTAATACAAATAGTCGTCATGTTTGAAGCCTGGTGTCTGTGTATATCCCTTACTAGCTGAGTGGCCATGGACAGGTTTGATCATCTGTGATTCTGGAGGATTAGATGCACTAATCAGTGTAAGCACAGGACTGATTCCAATTATTTGTTGCATGGTTGTGGAGGTGGTGGAAGTATTAGTAGAAAATAGGGAACTAATATTAAAAAGTCATTAGAATTAGAGAACATTGCAGGGTTCAATTTTAGAATACATTTAGCAGAAAATACGTGAATTAAGAGAGGTTGACTGAATGCAATATAGTTCAGTGGAGTGGAAAATATGAGGTATATGTGTTTGGTGATGGACCACTGAATATATAGATAGTAGTCAATGTTAATTTTAAGAGTCTAGATTGGAAACTAGAAAGGTCCTCTGGTTCTAGGTAGTGAAAGAATTTGTGTGAGAAGTGACAAGATCTTAAGTATTGCAACAATGTTCCAAGAGTATACATATTGAAATCCATCTCTTACCATCATCATGATCAAACTCACTCCCACATCTCTATTCCCACAACAGGGCATAGACATCAATGTCTGAAACCTAATAGTACCTAGGGGAAAATCCAGCCTTCTCTGTGATGTTTCCAGGGTAGAGCATTCTAAGCCAGAGACCAAGAAACTGATTTTTATAAATAGTGCCCCTCTCCTTAGTCGTAGGAACCCTGACAACCATCAAGGAAAAAGTCAATCAGTAATTGCAGGTTTTGTTGTGCACAGTAGCACCATATTGGCAATGGATTTGGGACTAACCCAGCACCTAAGCCTGTGATTGGGGGAGATTGTTTTTATTGAAATATAGCCCCATTAATCAACCTCCTTTCATCCAAGAGTAGAGCAGAGTTAGTTTAAAAAAAAAAAAGAGCTCAGAAATCAAAAGTAAACTTGTGTTTACCAGTTGCTGACTTTGGGTAAATTACTTCATCCTTCTAAACTTTGTTTCTCACTTGCAAAATGGGTTGATATCCCCTTCATAATGTGTGGCGATGACATAATGATGTTAAGTACTTCACACATGTAAAGTGCTTGGTAAGTGATGGCACATAATTATTGCCCCTTGCC